GTCGTCGCCGCGTTGGCTGCCAATGGTTCGCTCCAAGAACTGCAAAAAACCTACATTCGCGAGCGCTTCTCTGAATTTATGAAACTCAAGAAGACTCTGAATACTTTCAACGATCGCCTTCAGCTTCTACAAAAGCCTGGCTATGTTGCAAGCTCTTGCGATTTCAAATTTGAGCTCAACCCAACCGACCGACTACTGGCAGATGATGAAGCCAAAGTCGAAAAGTTACATGATGAAGTCAACATTGCCCGTGTTCTATTTCAAGGCCAAATGCAAGCCCAAATCATCGCACTGGTCAAACTTGAAATCGCTTCTGTCCAAAATTCGATTCGGAAATCGGTGGCCAAAAGCATTGTAGACATCACAACTACACTTGCTTTGCTCGATACAACTCTGGAAGAGGGACACAACAGTGATATCTTCCAATTTGTGCTTGATACCGATACAGCTGATCTACCTTCCCTCCTTCAACATTCCGAATTTCAGACCAAGCACAAACTCTACGATCTCATCCACACTTTTGCCCAGGAACAAGCAACCGCAACCACCCCTACTGATGCTTACCGTCCTACCGAAGATCGCACCTATGCAGTTGACAATACATCGCCAACTGTTATTTCGTTCCTGCAAATTTTCCAAGCTGTTTTTGTTACCAGCTGGGATACTTATCTGAACCAAATTGCTCTCCTTGAAAACACAAAGAAAGTGAAGGCCTACCTCTCTGCTTCCACTGCTGAAAAAGCGACACAGGATACAGCAATGGCACTTGCTGACCTTGATCTCAATGACCCTGTCACCGTCAAAAATGTCATTGATAAAAGTGTTGCTGAACGAACTAAACAACTGGAACGAAAACTCCAACAAGTTCAACAAGTGCTTGCAAGAAACTCCAATCGAGGGGCCAACAAGAAAACTCAGCCTGGCGCCTTGTCAAAAAACAAAAAAGGCTCCTCTCCTCGTTCCAACACTGCCGCAAAAGCCGACGATGCCAACAACGGTTCCTCAAGTCGCAATTCAGCCTCCAGAAAGAAATCAAAGCCGAGAAGAAAACGTTTCAAAAAGACCTCAGGAAGTTAAACAACAACATTCGATCAATACTAACCTATCGTTACGGTTTATACGCGGACCCATCCCAATCCTATCGCATAAACCTTCGACACCATGTCCTTTCTCTACCTATTGCTATCCTCGAGTCCCGAGTTTCCAATGCAGCATGCCACAATCTTTGCACCACTGAAACTCCTCCTCGCTTTTTAAAGTCACTCCTTGGGCTAGGACTCAAATTCTGTCCTAGCCCGCTACACACTACCGGTACCATTGAACTCTCTCCGATCCTAGACCGTTTTGACAGAGACTTCCGCATCAAAATTCATTATGCCCATGAAAATGACAATGAGTGGTCCCACAAACAACTCTATGTCCGTGACATTTTCAGCGACTGGAGCCCACCTTCAGACACTGTTGACAATGAATTTGTCGCTCGAGTTCAAGCTTTCCGCAAACAAATCACGCCTATGTTTCACCGCCAACAAGTCCATTCCAATCTCAATCCCATTCAACAAAACCTGCTCACTACACTACGCAATCATCCAAAGCTTGTAGTCCTCAACTCTGACAAAAATCTTGGGCCTGTGCTAATGGAACGCGAAACCTACGTCTGCCGCTGCCTTATTGACCACTTACTACAGCCTACTTATGAACATTTGTCTTTCGAGGCTGCAACCACATTCATCTCAAGCACTCGAGACTCTCTCATTGAGTTTCTTACTCTTTACCGTGGTTACCTGGGGGATGATAATCACAAATATCTGACCCGCAGCCTTGAAGCAGTCGGCGATCCTTTTAGCTACTTTTATGTATTAGCTAAAGTTCACAAACGCCCCTGGAAAACCTGCCCCATTGTTTCAGTCTCTGGAAGCCTACTCTATGGCCTTGGCAAATGGCTTGATCAACAACTTCAACCGATCATCCGCCAACTTCCAACCTACCTATCCAGCTCCTTCCAACTGAAAGAAGATCTAGATAAAATGGCAGGGACTAACTTTTCCAACATGAGTATCTTCACTGGGGATGTCATTGCTATGTACCCAAGCATCAATCTTGATGATGCCTTTGAACGGATTGAAGAATTCTTACACCATTCTTCCCTCTGTGCCAATGTTGATGCAGGTGCCGTCATGCACGCCCTGCGCCTCATCATGAAACGAAATTGCTTTCGATTTGGGGACACATATTGGCTTCAAAAAGATGGCACTGCAATGGGCACTCCACCTGCGCCCTCTTTTGCTACTCTCTACTACAGCATTTTTGAACTGGACCTCATTGAGCAATTTGGATCTTCTTTACACTATCTTCGCCGATACATTGATGATCAGTTTGGTATCTGGATCCACAATCCAGACCCAGTTGTCGATCAGCAACAATGGGAAGCATTTAAACAGTGTCAAGAAACTTATTGCTCTCTTTCTTGGGAATTCTCTCCGCTGTCCAAAACAGCCAATTTCCTGGATGTTACTCTGGATGTGGAACAGTTCCACATCAACTTCAAGCTCTACGAAAAGCCTCTGAATCTTCACCTGTACATCCCTCCGAACTCTGCTCACACCCCTGCCGTCCGAATGGGCCTTGTTACAGGTGGAATCTACCGCATTCTTCAGCTTACTACTCGAGACTGTGACAAAAAGGACTCCCTGTCCAAGTTCCACTCCCATCTCTTTGCCCGTGGATACAAACTTCCTTTCCTTAAGTTTGCCTTTGAAAAAGCTCTCATTCAATTTTCAAAGCCACGGGAAAAGAAATCCAAAGATTCAACGCGCGACTACATTCTTTTACATTTACCTTTTCATCCTTGTGATCCTCCTCGGCACTCCCTTCAACAGGCCTTTCATGCACACATGCTCCACCCACGAACAAAACACCGATTGTTTGGTCAAGCTTGTGATCATAGCCAAGCTTGGCACAGAACTCACTCATGGAATGGCTGGGATGCCTTCATTCGAAACGATACACCTGTGGTCCCAAAAGAAAAGTTCGAACCATATTTATACGAACTCCACAACAACGAAAAAGCTCTCATTCCTATTAAACGGCTTATTGTTGCATACAGTCGTGCCCCCAATTTGAAGAATCTCCTATTTCCTCGTCATGTTGAAGCAAAATGCCCAACTGCTCGGCAAGTCTCAACTATTCAAGCTGAACTTTTACATTCTCTCACAAATGCAGAGCCCAACTGACGATCATATAAGAATTTGTGACACAATCATTGTCAAAAAACACGCGACCATGACACCGTTACAAAAACAAAAATAGTCGCAATCTGTGTGTCCAGCTCGATTTTGGCGAAATTGCTGAAATTCAAAAATGAAAAGACCAATCTCTTGCCTCTTGCCACTTGTCTTGCCGCTGACAAAGCTCCGGCAAAAGCTATTCATCCTAACTAGCTTCGGTCAAGACTGGCCTTTTCTTGGATAACTACATAAGATCCTATTACTATTTTTGAAGATCACAGAGACCTAGTTGCTTCTTACGAGTGTTGATATGATTGGTAACTGAGTAACGGATAGTAGCTGTATTGACAGATCAATACGTTTTACCATCTATCACGATCTCGTGTTGCTTGGCTTCCTGCTTGCCTTTGGGTTTGGAGGGCACATCGGCAAGCTTATCCGACATCAAACGCTTTATGTCTCCAGGTTTGAGAGATTGACATTCAGTAACATGCGCTAGGATGCTGTCTCTGGCGGTGTCAACCACTTCAGGAGGAAGAGCACCAGAAGCACTCCCCATGCTCGCATCCTGCAAGTGGTCGAGGAGTTCAGCAGCCGAGATGTCATGAAGATTGACCAAACGGCGCAGTGGCGGAGGTGGAGGTGGTGGCGGTCGTGCGGGATCAGAAGATGCTCCAAGAATAATGGCCTTTGCTTTATCAGGAAGCTGTTGCCAATGGCGACGAGCCTCATCATGCAATTGACTCCATTGGGCCTGTGGAAGGCGGGGGCGGCGGCCAGGAGTGAAGGATGAGCGGTAAGCTTGGTATTCCCCAATATCAGTATCAATGTTAAATTCCATAGGGAGGTTGTCATCCCCAAAGCCGGAACGAACATCAGTAAAGTAGATATCTCTACTAGGGTTATTTTTAGGCTTAGTCTTGGAGTCTTGGCGAGTGTCGTAACTTTGGGCTGCAGATTCCACCAGGGTGACATAGTCATCAAAAATGATTGCCTTGCCCGTTTGCATCTCAAGAATCCTAGATAGTCTCTGAATCTCATCGAGATAAGGGACAGCAATAAGGGCTTGTTCGAGTAGCAGGTGTTGCTGGGTTTCTGGCATCCTTTGACTAATGTCTGCCAAGGTGTGGTATTTGCATACTTGTTCTTGCCAATGGATGATGAATGATTCATGTGTGTTGCGCCATGAATCATCAAGCCTAGCGGTCATAATCCATTGTAGAAGTCCAGTAGCGGTGGCATCAGCTTTGTCAGACTTAGTGTAGGCTTTAGCAAGTTGATTGTAAATTGTCTGCGCATCGAAGGTTGCTTGATGCTCACAAACAAATTGCTTGCCTTTATCGGTGAGGAGAGTCATGGTAAAGACTTGATACATGAACGCCTGCTGACGGTCAAAGAGGTCCTTTTCATCAACAGTTTGTGGGCGGTACTTGTGATCAAGGACATTTTGTAGACCGTAAGTGCGACAGATGGCTGCGAGGTTACGATTGTAGTTTTCCCATTGCTTATCATTGCTAAAAGTAGGGAAAGACGACGGGTATCGTCTGATGCTTCTATCGAATTCATCAGCAGGGGTACGACGACTGGGTTTCTGGATAATAGGTTGTGGAATAGTTCTATTACCAAAAGTTAAGAACTCTCCAGAAGCCCTATAGTCAAGTACACTTCCATAGTCAATATCCATGCAGTTGTCAGGGTTGACAGGATCATTATGGACATGTTTGCGGTAGTAAACGTATCCTTGGATGACCTTGATGAGACTGCGGATGGACAGTGGTACCAGGGCAAGTTGATCATCTTGGAAGTCGCCTTCATCATCAGGTGTTTGACTTCTTGGATAAACAAGAGAGTCAATCGCCACATCGGTCATAGCCATGAGGTCAATGAAGCAAGTAATTTTAGCATGCTTCAATGCTTGAGCAAGAATACCATCCCGAGGGAGATCGAGAACCTCAACCAGGATGTGTTCCAGACTCTCTGGACAATGACCAGGAGGGCGGTGGCGGGTTGTTGATGGTTGCGCGGGAGAATTAGATCCCAAACCTAAGGACGCATGAGACGATCGAGAGGATACAGATCCTCCTCTTGACAAGGTTTGATGACCCTGCGAACTCTAATTTGTGTACGCCCTGAGTCTGAGGACGGTCCTAACGTTGGACTGGAACCGATGCAATCCCAAAGTAGAAAAAGGAAAAGCAGATGCGCCTGAATCAATTGCTTGCACAACAAAAGTTCGTTCCTGGGGCGTCTGGTGTAGGTCCGGCGTTTTACTTCGCGAGGGAAGGTGAACCTTTCAAGCGGGACTTCCACCACAGAAGCTGTTCGACCAGTTGAAAGATTTGGATCCCTTGGTTCCGAAGAAAGCTCCTTGACGACGAAAGGAGGTGAACCGGGGGCAGCACGAGTTGGCGACACTCAACGCTGTATCGATAGCGATCGATAAATAAATAAAACTCCAACATCTTACGACTATCGCGATAGGGCCGCTACTAGCCGAGCACTCCAAATTGTGTCGTCCCGAACCTTGAAAAATAACTCGGGCGCCAGTAGAAACCGAGTTCTTTGTTCGAATTAAATCGTATGAGTACTATGCCTCAGAAATTATGTCTGCGACCGGTAACCCTCCGAATAACAAACGCGTCCGATTTGACAAGGACAAAACACAACAAGTTTCAATGACTACACCCATGGAAGCCGCCGAATGTGTTGTCGTCGCCGCGTTGGCTGCCAATGGTTCGCTCCAAGAACTGCAAAAAACCTACATTCGCGAGCGCTTCTCTGAATTTATGAAACTCAAGAAGACTCTGAATACTTTCAACGATCGCCTTCAGCTTCTACAAAAGCCTGGCTATGTTGCAAGCTC